AGCTGATGATACAGCCGAGGACAAAGGAGCGAATCCGCTGAACGTATACAACGGTAAGGTCTCCTGAATTTAGCTTTGTGTAATGAATGCCTTTGTATTAGCAGGCTTTCGGCTGGAGAGTGCCTGGTCGCGTCAGAATAACAGGGAGTGTTGCTAAGTCCTGCCATCTGTAGGATAAAATGTGTGTAAATGATAAACGGGCGCTGTAATCACTCATCTTGGTTACGTTATGTACATTGACTCACCACACCCCCCACCACCCAAAATTAAAGGGACTTTTTCTCATTATTGGCGCATTCCCTAATTTTTTCCGCACGGCCAAACGCTACTGGTGATAGTTAGGGTAGTCAATCCTTTTGTTGACAAGACAGTAGTGACGGCCATCTTGGTGACGTGTGTTGTTCTGCTAGACCCGGAGATGTAGTTCATTGAGCGTTTCACACAAACAAATGTGTTACTTCACAGTTTTACGACACGTTTTTTTTTTTTTTACTTGCAAAATTATCTTTTAAATATGACAACATCATATGTGTAATTCGTGGCACAATTGAAACGGGATCGAAAGATAATCTTTCTCTCTCCATTGACTTCAATACATAATCTTTCCGAAAAATTAGGTCCCATTGAGGTCCATCGGAAGGGGAGGGACTTCGCCACTCTATTATGGAGAGCACACACACACACACACACACACACACACACACACACACACACACACACACACACACACACACACACACACACACACACACACACACACACAGCGATTGACCAATCACAACAGAGCCGGACAGCTAACCAATCAGAGCAGACTGGGCTCTGGATATTTCTTAGGCGTAACATTTGATCAGATTTACAAACAAATACCACTGGGTCATGAGTTGGCTTTAAGAGTGAATAAATAAGTGTCCAGTTGGTGCCTTCAAATCCTCGCCTCACCCAAACAAATGTCCACATATTTCAACTCAGTAAAAAAAAACTTCTGGCATCTCCTGTTGTGTTCTGCACATGTGAAAGGGAAACATGGACATTGTGTGGACCTGATTCTCACAATATCGAGTTCATATAACCAAATGGCTTTAGATATATATCGAGCCCGATGGACACACCACTTTTCATAATGGTGGCCTGTGCAGTCTTTGAAAGACAAGCTGCTGGTCACAGAACAAACAGCCTGCAACGGCTTCTTGTCTAATTAACATGCTGTTTTTCTCAGAACACTCAGAAAGAAAAAGCCCCCCATTTGTTGTTTCCCTCTGAAGTGTCACTAACTCGACTTAGCACCTTTGGCCTCAAAAGGGAATTCATGTGTGCATAATGGGGGTGGCCCTGCAACAAAACACAACATGTTTTCCATTTAAAGTCCTGAACATAATGCAGCTCATTTATCAGTGATGGAAAAACCCGGCAAGTTCACTGAAGTCCTCCTGAAGTGTGTAGCCTCAAACATAAATCAGGTGCTCTCGGCTCCAACTAAATCTGCGAGTTAACTTCCCTAATTGAAATCACTCAGCGCTCGGAGAGGACCAGGGGAGTTTTGGTGATTCGCGAGTACCTTTTGCAGTGGCTGCAATATCCCCTCATAATTTAAAATCAACAGGCTCAGGGCAGTGCAGGCCAGACGTGGATTAGCTGCTAAAACAAATGCTTTAGCCCCTGTCCATGGCTATCAAAACAGCCATTAGCATTTCCGCAGCTGGTAATCGCTGGCGTTGAGAAAACAGGGAGGAAGCCCTTTCGGCTGGCTTCCCACACATTGCTACAAAGTGGGCTTAAGAATGCCTGCCACTCATGATGGGAGACGTGCACGAGAAGCGCGCTCATAAACACTTTCTCACATGCACACACTGGAGCAATCCACACACACATGGAGCCGGTTAGTTTTAGACGTTCACACAGTCACACACGCTGTGTCACCGGATTCCACGTCCTCAGGCTCACGGCAGACACGGAGGGTTCCCAGGGGCAGATTGTGTCGGGCAGTTTGAGACCAGTGAGAGAACAATTAAGTCATCAACGTTAGCTCCGTGGAGGAGGAAGGGGAAATTGCCAGTAATATTTTAAAGTGTGGAAATAGAATTTCAGGCAGAACAATAGGACTGTCCAAGTTATCGAATGAGTGAGTTTTTCTTTAAAGGGGACCTATTAGGCAAAATCCACTGTTTCATGTCTTTTATACATAAACATGTGTCCCCTCTGTGTAAAGAGATTCGGGAAAGGCTCAGGAAAAAAGATTTGCTCACTTTTTGGCCACTTTATGATGTCATAACTAGGGATGCACCGAATATTCGGCCACCGAAAATTATCGGCCGAAAATGGTTAAGAAGGCCCTTTCGGCTTTCGGCCCAAATCTGAAATGCAGACCGCCACTTGTGTCACTAAGCGGACTGCATGTGCAAAGACGAGGCGGGGCAGCTGTTAACGTCGGTCTGCACAACGGAATTGTGCCAAAACTACGCCAACTGGCTGCGGAGGGAGACTCCCTGTGCACGTTCTGTGCCCCGTGCACACTGGAGAACTGCGCAAAATCAGCTGATCACAACGTTCACGGCACACTCCTCTTCCCCCCGACATTCCCGAAGTACTCCACTAGCATTTCAAACAAACACTTCAGAGACATGTTTTGTAAATATCTGAGAACTATAATATATTGATGAAAAACAGTATAACAGGAGACCTTTAAATTCCTCTTCAGGGGTCACCTTAAGGCCCTGACACACCTACCCGATTTTGGGAGTCAGAGGCCGTCAGAGGCAGTCGGGCATTCGCGGCGCCCTACTCAGGTTGGTGTGTCCCGCACCATCGTTGCTTTACGGCACATTTTCACACCTCCCACGGTCTCCTGCGGCCATGTTGAATTGGCCAAAGAAAGTCAGCCAAAGAAAGTTGGCCAAAGAAATCACTCTGATTGGCTGTTGCCTCTTTTGAATGATCAATACACACTACCGCTGCTTGCTGGTAAGGACAGTTATTGCCACTCGTCGACTGAAGTCTTTGCGGCGTGTTCGTAGGCGGGCGGCGTAGCCGGCGCAGGCGACGTAGCTGACGTAAAAGTCGGGACGTCTTCGGTGCGCGTTCTTTGGTCTCAGGTTGGTGTGTAGCGGCCTTTAGAATGCTGACATTCACAATTTATTTTTACAAGGTACAATCATTTTTACCATTGCACATCCTAAAGCAAATTACAGAGCCCAAAAAGAAAATAAGAAAGTACATTATCAAATAAAGTGGGGTAAGAAAAGGGGGTCAGAACCTTATGTATCATTTGAATAATTTATTGAATATTAAAGGGGCCCTATTATGTTCATTTCAGGGTCGTATTTGTATTTTGTGCCTCTACTGTGACATGCTTTAATGTTCGAAAAGGTCTTTATTTTTAATTCCCTTTGGAGGGAACTTTGGGATTTTAGCCTTTGCAGACCATTTACATGCACAAAAACCTAAATAACACACGACAGGAAAGACAAAACCCAAAAAGCATAATGGAGCCTCTTTAATTAATTGAATGAAAAAAATCCTCAACAGTTCCCCAGATAAAAAAAAGTCTGTGGAGCAATATAAAGGAAAAGAGACAAGAAAGATCTGGTATGAGAAATAAAACAACCCTTTATTAAAAAAAAAGAAGAAAAAAGACCTATAGCCTCTTGTGCAAAAATGAAAAAGAACCACACCACTCGCCCTTTTGAAACCCAAGATACATTCATTACAGTCCCTTAAGCATCAGTCGTAAAAAACAACCCGCAGCTGCAGGCATTTATAGTTATTTATTCATTACAGAGCTCTGTTTTATTGGAGAGGTTCAAGTGAATTCATGTGTATTAGCTTAATGTGATGAGGTCTTTTTCCTGAGGACAGATCACGTTATTCTAGTAAGGTCAACCATGGAAAACACAATGGAGGCTTGTGGATTGGCACTTGAGGTGAGCATTCATCTTTTGAAACGAGGTGTTAAAACACACTGTCAGTCGTGCTACAAGTACACAAGTTCAGGTTTGTCTACTCGGGCCCATCACCTTCCCTTTGAACCGCTAATTGTTAATTACTTCAACATTTCTCAAGCAGCTGAAAGGCCCAAGGAGCATCTGTGATTGATAGAGCTCCAGTGTTTTGTGAGCTTTGATGTTGATTTACTTACAAAGGAGAGTCGAGGAAGGGCCAAGCGTGGTATCTCAACATCTCAGTTGTATATTCAAGCAAAGGCGATTTCCATATCAAAATAGTAGTTTAACGTCTGTGCTCTGGATCAAGTGAGCAGCTGTGGGGTTTGTTTCCTCTGCGAACGAGCAGAAACAACACGATGCAGCATCTGTGTTGTGTGTTAGTTCATCGCGTGAATGTCGACAGTACAGGCAGACCAAGGCCTTCACTCAATGTGTTTTAAGAATAAACATCTGGCTACATTTTTCTTTGATAAGGCCTGCATGGTTAAAGCAATTAACTAAAGGCTCTTTGTAATAGTTTCCACAGACTTTGGTAATGTTGTTTAAAAAATGTTTTCAATAAGTTAGTCATGAATTAATTATAGCCTTTAAAACAAACAAATAAAGAAATAGAAAGAATAGACTACTAGATATTTAATGTAACATATATGATATGCATTTACTATATCTAGTAAAGTACATAACCGCAACCATATGGCAGAAAAGCTCAGGACATTTTGAATACAATGTATACCAAACATGGTTGTGGATAACCTCCGGATATCCATGCTTTTCTGCGAATAAACCTAATAGCATGTTTTTGTGAGCATAGGTACCAGAATAGTTCTGTAGGCTTGTTTTTAATTGTTAGCTAAAGAAAATGACCATTAACCAATGAGACCAGCTTGGCCAACCCGCCAATCAGTCTGTCATTTTATATGTATGTTGTAATTTCTATTTGAAGCCAGCAAGATGACATTTATGATGCATTATATTTTACCTACTACTTGCTGTTTCGTGCTTGCCTCCAGTCTTCTTCTTTGTTCATCAGCTAACACTATCGACCTCATGAAGTTGGCATTGAAGGGTCTGTACTAATTCCACAACAATTTGTGAGAAGTGTAGGCTCAATCATTACAAGGGACAATAAGTAAGGATATATCGTCCTCAGCTGCATTAGCTGTGGGTGATTACAGATAATATATAGAAATGAAACACATAAAGGGTCCAACAATCTCCATGTTTCCTCTCTGCAGACATGTCTGTGTGCATGATACCTATCCATCACACCATGTGCTTCCCATAGACAGAATGCACTGCAGTATGTCTGATTCTGCAGCTAATGATAATAGTGTTCAGTCATATTTGTACAAGCTTGCAGTATAGAAAACTGTTAGTAATGTGTGTACATATTGTGCCTTGCCAAGCACAGTGTGTGTGTGTGTGTGTGTGTGTGTGTGTGTGTGTGTGTGTGTGTGTGTGTGTGTGTGTGTGTGTGTGTGTGTGTGTGTGTGTGTGTGGTAACAGTAAGTCCATGGAGATGGTTGAGCCATCTGTCCTCACCACAGTGGAACTGATAAAGCTGTCAGACCAGCTCCGTGTGAATCCCTCCCACTCATCATCACCTCTATGTCACTAATTACAACTGGTGTGTGTGTGTGTGTGTGTGTGTGTGTGTGTGTGTGTGTGTGTGTGTGTGTGTGTGTGTGTGTGTGTGTGTGTGTGTGTTTCCATGTTGTGATAGCATGTAAATACGACTGATAGTGGTCTGTTGCAGGGCACATGTGGGATAATTAAGCACATTTTCTTTCTTATGTTCTACGAATTAATCCCCGTCTTTTAATAACAGATGTTTTATCTGGAAACACAAACTACTTTGTACTTTGAGGGAGGTGTATGGCGCAGTGGATAGAGCGTTGGGATCAGGGGGTCACAGGTTCAAACCCCGCTGCAGTCAGCATGTCGTTGTGTCCCTGAGACACTTCACCCCAAAGTGCTCCTGTGGGGATTGTCCACAGTATTGAGTATGTTAGTCGCTTTGGATAAAAGTGTCTAACAGGTGACATGTCATGTACTTTAAAAGGTGCTTTAATGCAATATCATACATTTTGAATACATCGGTGTAACGAACAGGACATGATGCAAGGAGATGACCAAACTCCTTAATTACACCACGCGACAAAACGTGAGCAGTAAAACACGTCAAGAGGTAAAAGATATCATATTCATTATTTTACCAATTTTCCCAAATAAGCATATGAACGAAAACAGTGACCTTTGAGAGTGGATGTTTGTGCGAATCCTGAAAAATGTGCAGGACCTACAACCCGAAAACAAAAGGCACACAAACCCCTTTAAACGAATGCAGACGTTCTGAGCTGCAGTTCTCCTAATGACCAATTACTGTCCCATCGTGTCCGTTTGAAGTTACACCAATCACACCTTTTATTGTAACATTTACCCATGAGTCCTGTGAAGTCATGAACCAGCTCTAAATCAACGCAGACCATCCATCACTACAAACTAGGCCGCTACAGTACGGAGTCAAACTCTTTGAATCAGCTTATTGTTAGCATCTTGAAAAGGTTTGTTCATACATGACTCCAATGTAAGTATCTTCATTTTATTAACATGTGGAGACTTTTTTAACAACCCTAATATCCCCAACTCTTCCTTCCTTTTTCCCCGTCTCATCTTTGTGTCTCAGCAAACTTTCTCTTCCTCTCCCTCTCCCCGCCTCCCCCCTTTTCTCCCCCTGACAGCAACATTAAACAAGTGGGGAAAAATGGACAAGCAATTATGATTTATGATCAATGCATGCAGCAGCTGCTGACTTTTATAATGACAGTGGTTAGGGGGAGGGTGTGTGTGTGTGTGTGTGTGTGTGTGTGTGTGTGTGTGTGTGTGTGTGTGTGTGTGTGTGTGTGTGTGTGTGTCACAATTGAATTGAAGAGCAATAATAAGTGACACTTGTTAATTTGTTAAATAAATGTTATGCCAAACTTGGATTGTATGTAATTTGGTATTCCCAAATATTGTGTTTTCTAACTGGCAATAATGCAGTGCCAGAGTTTTATGGAAGGTTTATTGTCATTGGTACAAAATGACCTCAGACCCTCTTACGCCCCGCTGTGCTCAAATTTCAAACTATATCAAGGTTGGTTGCAAAACTGGACACTCTTTAGTTGTCATCTACTACTAGTTTTAATCAGCTACTAGTTCTCAGCTATTAGTTGTCAGCTACTACTAGTACTCTTGGCAAAAACTGAATGCTACTTCTCTATATGTCTTAAAGACAGCGGTTGGTTACAAGTGACTTAAAGAGACAAATAAATGTCACCACGCTGAACATTAGCTGGCTTTAGCTTAGTCGTGGTGATGTGAAGTCAGACAAACACTTACCTACTGATACATCAGAGGCAGGAAAGGCAAGAGTAAATGTAATATTGTTCTATTTGATGTTTGTTTGACAAAGCGGTGTTGAATGTGAATCATTTTTTTCTCCATGTTCAATTTGTCCTGTATTTATTTCATTGGTGATGCGTCTACATATTTGACATGTATAGAGCTGACATGAGGAGACATCATTCACTGGGACACTAAAAACACAAGGCTGTATGAGCATTGTTGCCCTGCTCAACTCTCTATATCTCTCATAGTGTCTTCAACACTAAAACCCTTCATCAAAGTTTATTTTGTGTCACGCACGCACGCACGCACGCACACACACACACACACACACACACCTCTACAGGCTCAGCAGTGGTTCCTACCATAATAGACCATCCATTACAACTAAGTACGCAAACACACTCTGTATCTCCAGTAGCAATCTCACTTCTTCATACAACACACTGATTCATACAATGCCCTTTGTACCGGAAAATTGCTCTTTTTAACATCCCTTGGGAAATCGGTTTCTTCTTAGGAAGAGGTGAATGAATAGAAGAAAGGATATCTCTTCCAAAATAGTCTATATGCCATTGAACAAAAAAATACTCTTTGCCCAAAAAGAGTGTAATGTGCTGACAGGAAAGAACATAATATAACTATCAAGTTTTAGCCCTCGGGATTTGATGGTTTTTAAATCATGAACAGTGGATATTTTCTAGCCCAGGGTTAAAAGCCAGCTGAGAAAATACTGAGATACAGAGATACACCAGGCGTCGAAGCAAATGTTGCCAAACAGTGGTACTACAACTTCTATATCACGTGACGTCATTGGGCCCCAAAAAGAATGTTTCCCATTGACTCACATTGGAAAAGAAACGTATGTAAACCGGCGGATATGTTTTTTATAGGTAATCCAATTACCCAGTACCAACACTTTAATATCCCTTATTTAATGTGTTAAGATGTACATTTGTAAGATGAGTTTCAGAGTTATTTTGGAGTGAAGCTGCCTTTTGGTAAGAACTGACTGAAAGATCTGCAGGTTTGCTGAATTTTTTATTTCAAACCCTGTATAAAATTATTCTAATATTGCTATCAAAATAACAGTGTAGAAGATAGGGAAGGTTGAGAAAATAAAGGAGGTAGTCCATTATTCATAGGGTTAGGACTGTGTTTATATGTCAATGTGTAAGTCTACTGACCACAAAAAATGCCAAGCCAATGTTCACAAATTCACACACACATTCATAACCGGTGGCAGGTTGCCAGGCATATAACCCTTAACCTTTTCATTACTATACAACAGCTTTTCCTCCTGACCCGTGACACCTCAAATGTCTTTCAGCAAGTTCATATACACCTCCATCAATTGTGTGTGTGTTCTGCAGGAATGCAGCCGGTGCTGTACTCTGTAAGGGAAGCTCTGGGAGGAAGACCACACTGGGTCAGGTCTGGGACTGAGATTTGTTACTACAGGTATGAATTAAATGAACACATGTAATGTGTTTCCTCTCTAGCTGCAGTCCAAATGTCATTACTTTTAACAAAATGCTGGTCATCCAATCTTGTGGTGTGACTAAATCAGACTGCCAGAAGTGGGTTCAGTACAGATAAGGGACGCAACTTACTAATAACTTAATTTGTGGTAAATAGGTTATGTAACAGCCCCCATTTCTGTTTAGTCTCCTGGGAGATAAGCTGTTTGAGCTGCAAATGCGCTAGTTGTATCCATATGCTGTGAGTTTACTTGTAATGAATACAGTGTATTAAATATATTAATAAACTCACATATGTCAACAATGGAACTATTCTTACATCTAATTTATCTTATAAACAGAAAAATACAACCATAAAAAACGTATAGAAACTATATAGGAGTCATCAACAACATCTTGGTTAGTCGTGTCATTTAAATAAATTGCCGCGCACCATTTACTCAGCCCAGTGCATAAGATAGAGACGTCACCTCCATACACTGCTAGAGAAGGACCTTTTAGCTACACATATAAGTTACTCTTTGTTATTCTCCTCCAGAAACCACCATTGTCCAGCTCGGGGCAGAAGGAGAACCACCTTTTATACTCTGACCTTTACCATCACCTTCAAACACAGTGAAGACGTCTGCTACCTGGCCTACCATTATCCCTACACGTACTCTGCTCTCAAGGTACTAATCACCATCCTTCAATCCATCCTTCCATCTTTCCACTAATCCATCCATCCATTTGACCATCTTTCATCCATCCACCAACCCATAAATCTGCCCATCCATCCATAAATTCATCATCTGATGACTTTTAATATTAAAATAAAACCACCACATCAATTTGCCAGTTTAAAGTCTAGCTACGGGACATTTGTCCCCATGTCTCCAATTTATTTTTGTCTCTCCACTGTCTGCCTGAAATTCCCAAAAAATACTTTTAAAAACAAAACCAAATAGTTGTTGTCTATGAAGAACCATGAAAATGTTAATCATTTGGTTGTCACAAATATGTGTTTTTTTCAGATATGTACAAATGCTTCCTTATGATGACCATAAACACCATCAAGCTTCCGTCAGAATATGTATGGTAAACCAATTAGTTTGATACATAGATATTAGTGGTCTCATCGAAAATAATGTTATCGTGTTAATCACCAATACATCTTGTGATTAATAATGATTCATCTCAGTATTATGTATTTGTATTTTGTGGGGCGACTGTGATGTTGTAATACAGAAATGCATGGCAGACTGATAAGAGAAATCTACCTCGTGGCAACTTTACTGTTAGCTTTATGTGTGATGAAAACTGAGGAAAGGCATTTTGCTGAAACATGCGCCAGTTTCTTAAAGTTGCACAGGAGTGTGAGATAGTGCAAAGGGTCCCAGATATGCTCAGAGTAAGATAGCAGCAGAGATAATACACACTGCGTAGCACACATTATACAGAGGGTGATCACAGCGCCTCTCTGTGATAGCAGCTTTGTCGATGCTTTAGCTTAATGTCGGAAATTCATGCCAATAATTCAGCCATCTTCAAAACTAAGCTGAGATGTTAAAACAAAGTAAAAAACCCTGTTATGATTCTTACTGATTTACAGTGGTCTCTCGACAGTGAAATACATGTAGCGTGTAACAATTTCCATGCCGTCTTTGTCTTTTCACTGCCATGCGATTCAGTTCTGCGTTGGTATTCCAGGAGGGAGTTGTAATCAAACTTGATGATTTGATTAATTCGGTTTGAGGTTTTCAGATTAATTCGGTGCGTTAACCGATCAAAGTTGACAGCCCTAATAAATACACATTTGTATAAAAGACAATAAGATACAGAACCATCACTCAGGGTCTGCCCTGTGTCTCTCAGGCTAACCTGAAGCTGCTGCAGAGGTCAGTGGATCCTACCAAGGTGTTTTTTCAGCAGCAGGCTCTTTGCAGCAGTCTGGCTGGAAACCCGTGCCCAGTGGTGACCATCACTGCCTGTCCTGCCAGCCGGAGCTGGAGAGATATGCACCAGCTCCGTGAGTAGTGTGGGTGGGTGTGTGTGTGTGTGTGTGTGTGTGTGTGTGTGTGTGTGTCAGCATGAATGTATTATGTAATTCAAATTAATGTGAAAACCCTTTAGAAATAAAGACATTTCACAGATAGAGAATCGTGACAGCATTTAATCTTCTTCGTAGATTCGTTGAGACTTTCCCTGCTATAATTAATGCACAGATATCCGTCAGCTCTGTGTGTGTGTGTGTGTGTGTGTGTGTGTGTGTGTGTGTGTGTATGTGTGTGTGTGCTTACAGGTAAATGCGTCACAGATGGTGACATCACAGCAGGTGGCCGCTCTCCAAAGCTGGTAACATGGCGGGGGGGCGACGTCGATGAGGGAACGATGACAGGGTCGTGGCTACAGGAGACAGATATACCCTGACAACGTCTTGGAAACCAACCCACTTCCTTCCCACCTCACACACACACACACACACACGCACGCACGCACGCACGCACGCACGCACGCACGCACGCACGCACGCACGCACGCACGCACGCACGCACACACACACACACACACACACACACACACACACACACACACACACACACACACACACACACACACACACACACACAGATCCAGTTATGCTCATGAGTGTGTTGAGCCTCGACAGCATGACTTCAGGGGAGTTGTAACTGTGGTTATGAATTTGAAGTCAGCTTCCAGGGTGAGATGACATGCGGGACTCTGGTGGTTTTGTTCAACTTCCTCACATCAGCAACATCAAATAGTAGGAGAGTAGTCAAATCAGATTTTGCTGACTGCTCATGCCTCTTCAAACCGGGCACTTACGGAGTAGTAGTTTAATATTGGCTATGCAATGAAATCAGATTATAATAACATTTATAATACATGTATGTGGGATTACTAGCAGGATAACAATGCTACTAAAAAAACTAAATCATGACAATCATGTGAATGCTGATCATAGTTTCTACGCTCTTCGCATATTTCACAATACGATCATGTTGTTATTCAAGTAAACACACAAAAGTCTATGATCTTTGTGTGTGCGTTTGTGTGTGTGTGTTTGTGTTTGTGTCTCAGTTGTCCTTCTAGTGATTGGGTCAGCTTGTGACCCGTAAATCTTGAAATGACAAGTATATGTGTGTGTGTGTGTGTGTGTGTGTGTGTGTGTGTGTGTGTGTGTGTGTGTGTGTGTGTGGGTGTGTGTGTGTGTGTGTGTGGTTGTCCACCTGTGAGTAGAGCAATGGGAAACTGCCTGCATGTGTGTTTCTGGTTGTCCTGCTGTGTGTGGGCCAGTGGGAACATGAGTGTGTGAGAGTCTCCAAGGTCATTTCTCCTACTCATGACCTCACTCCTTTCTCAGACCCCCCCCCCCATATCACTTCCTCCTCTGGCAACAAAGAGACTATTTTAGACTACAATGATCTTCCTCTGACAGAGACACAGAGTCAAAGTTAATACTCTGCAGGTTCAGACGCCTCACACTTATAACTGACCACACACACACAATTAGGCACACACACTCACACACATACACATTCTTTCCTTTCCATTTTCCCATGCACAAAGATCAGACAATAAGTGGTATAAACAAGATAAAAAATAAAATGGCCTTGGAAAGCTAAAAGCTGTCGGGTGCATTGAATAAGTGTTTTGGCTGAAGCTGCAAAAAGTAACATGTGATATTCTCTATATTTTCGTTATATAACTGTGCCTGCAGGATGCTCACTTTCACCCAGTGCTGTGCAAAGATTTCCTCTGTGTCAGATCTCCAATATTGACGCAGGAGAGCAGATAGCTAGCGGCTGCTGACCTGTGAGGACAACTACCTGTCACTCAAAGTAGCCATTCCCATAATAATGCAGAAATGTAAGATTTGGTTAAATGTTTCACTGATACAAAATACCACCCCAATCAATTAAGGTTAGGGTTAGGGTTAGGGTTAGACCCGGAGAAATAAGGTAGAATTAGTACCAGACTGGACATTTTTACATTTTAACATTTTTGGTTTATTACATATCCTGAGAAATAAATATCTGTCTCTCTAGTTGCTAAATTATCATCAATGTTCATCAACTACTCTCTAACTGTGTCTGCCAGCTGATTGGTCAAGGCAGTGTACATACTGATGACTATGGTTTTATAAAGAGAACTAGATACAGTGTTGGAGGGGGAGGCCTTGTTTTTTCCTATCAAAGTTGCTTAGTGACGGATGTCTTGATTTGAGTACAAAAGTTCCCGTATCTGGACCCATAGAGAGTGCGCACAAGCCCCGCCTCCAATCCACAGCATCATGGCCGCTCTTGTCTCAGTCACATTAAAGAGAGAGAAAGTTACTCTGGATTTGGCTTCCAGCGCATTTTACAACTTTTGGGACCTAATGATTGATGAAGTGCCATAAAAGTGTTCGTACTCAGAAGTTGATTTAGGAAAAGGCGCTTTGGTTTAGCAAAAGGCTCTTTCCAAATATAAGTTAATGTTAAAGGCAAACTGCTCCAGATTGGAAAATGAAGTAAATATTCATGCATGAGTAATAACATTTACATGTTGTGCCACACCTAAATGTATGCAGCAGATGTGAAAATACAACCATTGTAAATATATTTATACATACATACGTGTATACTGTGTCCCTATAGCTTCAGTGATGTATATTCCCCTGTTGCCTATAGCTCTCTATGAAAAGTGTTTTCATCTCCTCTGAGGAAAGTGCTGGGCTTGGTGTGTGTTTCCATCAGTTGGAGTAAGGCAAAGGTGCTCACTTAGTTTACATAACATTTGGTGGAAGGGTGTAACAAGGGGCAAGAAAAACCCAAATTGGCCAATACACACATTATTTTTTGTTTTTGTGGAAAATATACATTTTTGACCCATTTTGAAACCTATAATAATCAGTTGGAACAAGCTGTGTGCCAAAGAAATGATAAGGACGTTTGGAAATATTGAGAGATGGGCTAACAGCTCATTGTCGATTAGGGGTGCAACAACTAATCGACTTAATCGATTAAAATCGATTACCAAATTAGTTGGCAACTAATTCAGTCGTCGATTCGTTGGTGACGTCATCACATGTGTTCTACACCCCGTTAAGCTCCAACGTTATCGCTCTTTTGTATCGGTACAGGAGACATTTAAAAACATATGTTATGTATTATTGCTACATAAACATTATATCGCAGTCTTAGTGTTGCCAACTCAGTTTCTAATATGCAATATGACTACAAAATGCGTCTATCATGTATTTTCGATATTCCGAATTCAGACGAGCGATCTCTCCCCCGCCTGCTTGCGAGGGGGCGGGGCAGTTTACACACACACGCAGGAGATGGCGGAGAGAACGCGCTCCGAGGTGTGGTTAAACTTTAGCCGTCTCGATGTGGACAATGCTCGTTACCAAAAGTGCAATAACAGTTTATCATATAAAGGCGGTAAAACGAGCAATTTGTCTAAACATTTAGCAAANNNCTGTAGCCCCGTCCAAGAGTAACCTTTCCACGTCAGGTGTTATGTATGCTAACAGCAACACACAGAGTTAACTCAGTTATAAAAACATAGGTTAATGATTAGAGGTAACTGAATTAGTTATTTTGTTAAAGTTTCAGCTATTCTGTTTACAGTTCTGTCATCACATTATTTAATATGATTTGTTAAAACATTGTTGTTTCTTTTGATGTGAAATATTATGCATTTAATTAAAATAAAAAGCAATGTTAGTTTTGTTCACAATTTGTTGAGTTAGTTTACCTTATTTCTTGTCAAAAGAACCGTTAATACTATCGTTAAAAGGACCGGATCGATAAGCAGTATTGATATAAGTAGTAGTACAGTTAAAACCTTAACGTTCCGAATAATCGATTAATCGTTTCATTAATCGATAGATTAATCGATTATCAAATTAGTCGTTTGTTGCAGCCCTATTGTCGATACTCTGGGATTTGTCTGAGATCACATGGATATTGGCTCCAACATTGTATTAGAACCATGCATTGTTGAATAGTAATCGCACAA